TTTAAAAAACTTGACTGTTGGTATTAAAAAAATCTCAAAACTATTTGAGGGCTGTACAAGGTATCAAAGAGATTGTATATAAAAAACAAGATACTTACTGATGGAAATTTTATTAAAATGATGAATTAACTAAGTTATATTGTACATGTTTAGTGACAGCATTAGAAAATAAATTATGCCTAATTGTAAGAGTTACTTTAGATATATTTCATTGCTTTTCACAGCTTTGCAGCATGTCTCATGAGTCCAGTAGAAATACTCCTTACTTTGAAATGGGAGGTTATCAGAAGAGATCAGGAAATTAATGAATTGAAATTCCTCGTACAAAGCTCAGATTATGCCAACATGAAGGTCATGTACTCCATCTAAAAGTCTGGAGGCAAGGAAGAGTACACTGGCAGGAGCTGCGGCTAGCTAGCCGGACTTCCTTGTCCTAAGTGATACAGTCCAGCTCCAGTAGACAAACTGGTAAACGTGCTCATTTTCTCAGAGAAATGTTCACGTCAAAGATGGTCAGCTATGTGTCATTTACAGATAAAATTGATACCATTGGTGGACATTGTTTTTTTTCAAAGTACTTTAGCCGATAGATTCAGAGAACTTTAATGGAGTTAACTGAGATAGGAAGATACAGTACTTGGCATGGAGCTAAAATGGCCATTGCTACAAATGGCCAAGCAGAGTAGATCCTGCTTTGCTGTCTCTTGGCAAACAGAAACACATATATTGACTTATCAAATGAGCAAGCAAGATTCAAAATTCATGCAGAAATCATTAGAAAGTATGATAAACATTACTAGGAGCAGGCATGAAGCTTTCAGATGACTTTTCATGGAACAGACTGTTAGCTTTTGTTACCTCAGTGAGGTACGTGAGGCAACTGACTTTAAAGAGAAAAGATTTATTTTGTTCCTATATTTAAAAATTGGAGTCTAAAGTTGGATGGCCTCATTACTTTTAGATTCTAATGAAAGCAAGAAATGGTCACAGGGTGGAAATGTGTTAGGAAGCAACAGAGATGGAGATGGAGAAGGAAAGTTGGAGAGATATGCCACAGCCCCATAGTCCCCTTCAAGGGAATGCTCTGTTAAACTAAATACCTCCAACTAAGCCCCATCTCTTAAAGCTCCTTCGCATGTACCAATACCATCACACTAAGGTTCAAAATTTTATAGAAAAATCTTTGTAGAGTACTCATCTGATTGATGAATGTAGAATTTGAAATTGAGTGGAAGCTTTCATGATCCCACAGTTCTCACATTCTGCATATTGAAAATCCAGCATCTCATGGGTGATGCCAAAGTCAGCTGCCAGTTTCAGCAGTAGCTAGGCCTACGTGGACCATGGGCGCAGCTGCCCATGCATCCTTGGATGGCTGTATCTAGTGAAATTAATCCTGAGGAACCAATACCCTAGGCCAGTGGTGGCTGCACCTACAGCATGCATGTTACTATGTTTTTATTTTAGGACAAAAGATATTAACATAGAATTGTTTTTTATAAACTAAAACTTCAATATTCAGGTTAAATTATAGTGTTGGCACATTGTAATAAGTGAGTTTGGAGTTGCAGTTTAGTCTCTAAAAGTTTCACTGTTACCCTCCTAAGCAATCCTAATTGAGAAGGAGGCCCAGAGGCACTCTTCTCAAATGAAGCATTTAAAATTTTGCACGTATGATATATGGGGTTTTTGTTGATTGTTGAGATGCCCTGATGGGATCTTTCTTGTCCAAGGCAAAGTATTTATTTTCTTGTAAAGACCACTGATCTCTTTGGCAATCATACCTTCCTTAACCCTAGCTTTACAAACTGTTTCTTCCCAAGACAAACTGAAAGTTTTTGATTTCTTTTTTTACTCCTGATTATTACTATAAATCTGGCTAAAAACAGCCAGCAATAACCATACCACAACCTGAATATAAGCTTCCTTGAAATTTATTGTGCAAAATCAATTAAGAGTGAACAAAGTATAGAAAAATTCTTTTCCAGAATATAACATTTATGGTCTCCTGTCCAATCCCCAAGAGAGTCATTCTTATCTGAAATCTCATGAGCACTGTCTTTACTGTCTGTATTCCTGTTGGCATTGTGGCTTTCTGAGGTCCCATGAGAATCGCCCATCAATTTATGCCTAAAGCATTACAGGGATTCTCTCACATTGATTTCCAATCCTTTCCAAACTCTGCCCATAAAACAGTCCCAAAGGCTTCTGAATTACATAGTTAGGTATAGTGACAGCAACAATCCCATTTTCTGCAATTACCTTTTTTTTTTTTTTTTTTTCTGGGGATTGAACTCAGGACCTTGCACTTGCTAGGCAGGTACTTAAGCTGCTGAGCTATCTCTCCAGCCCCCTGCAATTGTCTTTTCCCTTGCTGGAACAAAATATCTGATACCCACAACTTAAAGAGGTTTAATTTGTTTTATGGTTTTATAAGATTCAATCTGATTACTTGGCTCAAAGGCACAAGCCTCATGACAGGGTATGCTTGACAATGGAGTCTAAGCAGATATTGAGAAAAAGAGGCAGAGATGAAGGGGCCAGGGACCAGATATAGTCCCCAAGTTTATGCCTTCTTGATCTATTCAGAGACACCCAGAATGTGCTTTCCTAATGTGGTCATCTCTTAAGCCAGTCAAGTTGATAATCAAGATACTTAATATTATATTAAGTTATCTCAACTTACAGTCGTCCCTCATTGATTGCATTAAGAAGTCTATGTCAGCTTTCCTGTTGCTGGGCAACATATTTGATATATACAATTTAAGGAGGAGAGATTTTTTTGGCTCATAGTTTCAGGGTTCAATCAATGGTCATCTGGAACTAAGGCAGAGTTGTCACGGCAGAATACCTGGCTCAATCCATTGCAACCAAGAAGCAAAGAAAGCAGGGAAAGCCAGAGAGAAAAATATACCCTCCACAGGCATGCTCCCAGTGATTAGGCTCTTTCACCTGGGCCCCACCTCCTAACAGCAAATTCACTTATAAATT